AATTTGTTACATTTCTGGCGATTAGAAGCTTTCCTTCTAGTTGAGCTATAGCCCTTACTTCGTAAAACTTACGAGTTATTTCTATTTTTGGGTATTTAATGTAAAGTACACTTATGTCATTCTTTTGTTTAAATTTAAACTCTGAAATGTCCATTAAATTCGTAATTGTCATAGTTCCATATTGATAATAAGTAATATTTTTTAGTTCGTCAAAGTGTAAAATAGTTGGATTTAAAATTACCATTTTTCCAAAAGTTATTGTATATATCATATTTGTAAGCTCATGCAAAATAAACTAATTTCGTCTCTTCTTTATATTTCTAGGAAATGTGTCACCCATGGGCGTAGCCAGAGCGAAATTTAGGGGGCCTCCTATACAAAAAATTTTTTTCAAAACCAATAACTTACTTACTAAAAAATTGTTTATTATAGCTTAAAATTATCATAACTAATAGGTATGTTGAACAAAAACAAGAAAGTTGATTATTAGTATATTTGAATAGTTAACTTTTTACTGCGCATGTTTATTCTACGAGGAGGAAGCATCTAAAGCCTAACCCCGTCAGTGTGAGACTTTAACCCAAACTAAACTTCCTACCGTCATGTACCGTTCCCCTCCCGATACCACCGTCATTGATTTCGTCGGGATTATAACACCTTGTGACTGCTAAAGTTATAGATATATTGAAGCACAAAAAATATCCATACTTATAATTTCGAATACCCCCTCCAATCTGGACTTAACGTCTAAAAACGCGCTTTACATAGGTTGAGCCTTATAATTGTTCGTAGCTTAATTTCACTTTATCCGAAGAAAAATATTTACGTGCGTACACGGTAACCGCAACCCTCAACACGTGCAATTCTTTGATTAATGCAAGTCTCTAAAGCAAAACATTGTAACCTTTATAACAGCAACTTCAAAACAGTTTAACTTCAATACCTAAAACATTCTTTGTTTGTGCATGCCATACACACAAAATTTGAGTTTTTTGTCTTTCTTGGACTTACTAGTATTCTGGAAAACTAACAAGTGGAGTTTCCGTTAAAGTGATGTGTGATGAGTTTAAAATAAACATATCAGCTGTTATCAGAATTAGTCAAAATTAAAGCAAAAGTAAAGATAAAAAATATAAAAGCCGGACTTGAGAAACGGCAAACTTTAAAACAGTGCGAGTACCGAAAAAGGATTAACACAATTGGTTTTGTTTTAAGCGAAAGTAAAACGTTCCCATATCTGTCTAATTTATGAAAGCTAAAGTCCGCAAGTCACATAAAAATAACCAACTGAATCTTCTGCTAGACAAGACATACATTGCTAATGGGTCTAGACCAAACCTCGCTTGAGCAAACGCATCTGGGACGCACAAACTTTTTCTTCTTCTTATTTGGCGCTATAATATATGGTCCAAGCAGTAAACAAGTCGTTTCTCTTCTGTGCAAACTGACGCCTATGTGGAAATGCCAAGTGGGACCAAGTCCTATCCACTTGGTCCTTCCATCGCAGTGGGCCTTCCTCTTCCACCATCGCGACCCACGTTGAATTTTTTTAGAACAGACGTAATCCTTATTTGTAGCAATTGTACGCTCTTGTAAACTTTTGTGCCTGAGCGATTCAGTTCTGCGACTCTAATTATCTTCTCCAACATCACATTAAAGAGATCACATGAAAGGGAGTCACCTTGTCTGAAACCTCGACTGGATTCAAACGGCTTGGAGAGGTCCTCCTCAATTCTGATCTGAAGCCACACTGGTAAGGCGCAATAAGTTCGTTGACGGAGGGCTTCAGTCTTTCACACAACACGCTCGATAAAATAGTTGGCACGCATGGCGGGCTCGCCTTTCTTGTGGATTGGGCAGAGCGCACTTGAATTCCAGTCGTCGGGCATGCACCTTATTAGCTCCTTGCCATCGTAATTGAATAGCTCGGCTGACAGGCCGTCAGCTCTAGCAGCTTTATTACTTTTGATCAGCATAATCACTATTCGTACCTCGTCCTAGTCAGGCGCTGGGATATCGACTCCGTCGCCATCGACTGGGGGCTCGGGTTCGTCTTCTCCACTTCTTTCAGTGCTGCTGCCATTCAAAAGGGTTGAAAAGTGCTCCCCCCATAATTTAAGTACATTCTAGACAGCGGTCACTATGTCGTCATGGTTGTTCCTACAGCAGTCTTGAAACCTTCCGTAAGTCACTCAACTCTCTGATAAAAATTTCGTTTGTTTTTTCTGTCGGCCAGCATTTCAAGCTCTTCGCACTCATGTATTTTGACCTCCCTCCTCTTATTGCGGCAAATACGTCTAACGTCCCTATAAAGGTTCCACATAGCTCACGTTGCGTCCGATCGCAGTGTGGTCGTGTAGGCGGCACCTTTTTTATCTGCAGCTTCTTGACTCTCCTCATCGTACCAGTAATGAGCGGGAATGTGGTTCCACTGCTCGCGTATGTCGCTTTGTTGAAGATTACTCTCTCACAGCAGGTGTGAGAGTCGGGTGGCGAATCAATTGGCCGTCTGGTTTGATTGCAGCTTTTCGACGTTGAGCTTTCCTTGCATTGCTGGGCACATAATTTTTGCTGCACCGAGGCGGGTGCGTATATTGGCTGCATCAATATAGTGGTGCGAGTCGATATTTGGCCTTCAGAGTGTACATATGTACTTTTAAAACACTGGAAGTGTCCCTTCCGTCTATCACAACATGCTCGATTTGCTGTAATTTCTTAAGACGTAAACGTCTTGGCTGTTCACCAAACCAGTCTATAATAATATCTAATAATAATAATAATAATAATAGAGTGGCGCTTACACATATGTTAGTGTTTGGCCGCGCTTCTCCTCCGACTTGTGGCGTGCGCCTTGATGTTGTCACACAAAGCGGAGGGACCTACAGTTTTACGCCGACTCCGAACGGCGATTGTATTTTTATGAGAAGCTGTTTTTCATGGCAGAAATACACTCGGAGGTTTGCCATTGCCTGCTGAGGAACGACCGCTGTTAAGAAAAAACCTTTTTTCTATATTTTTTTGCGATGTTGCTTTGACCAGGGTTTGAACCCAGGTGCTGCGGAGTGGAAGCGCGCACTGCTTACCACTGCACCACAGCGACCAATCTATAGTTTTATCAATAATCTCAGATTGTTCTCTGATACTAAACTTTCGATGTACACTTAGAAAACACAAACCTTAAGACAATCAGCTCTGTGATAATTTTAAAATTTTCTGCGTTTATTGTAAACTGCTTGTTATTGTTTGAAATTAATTCGTCTAATTTGTCATTAATTCTGATGAAATCGTCATGGTCCGGAGTTCCTGCTATCAATTTCCAAAGTGTTCCTAATTCATGTATACCTCCTTTTTATCTAAAAGTATTTTATTTTAATTGTCCTAACTACGTTTCGATTACTAAAATTTCTGAATCGGTCTCTGCATTATTAATCTCTAATTTAGCGTTGTTATTTTTGTCGTAAAGAACACTGTTATAAAAATTTTGTTTTTCATCCGCTATAATATTCTCAAAATATGTTAAGTTTGTAATATGGAATATGTCCCCGTAATCGCTGTAAATAGAAAAATCTCCGTTTTCAGTTAGTACATAGTCCTTTCGAGTGTAATCAATAATGTCAGCTGTACGGTTTCGAACCACCCTAGCCAAGAGAAGTACGGGAGAGCAAGTTTTCTCCACGATGAAATCCACAGCGAGCATTGAATTTCCAGTGACTTCATGCACACACCCAGATGTATACATATATACAACAGCATGAAGGTATATAGGTACATATGTATGTACCCACCCGCAATGTGAGAACCGTTGAGGCAATAAATAAATAGATGACCGTGTCGCTAAAAGTTAGTATTAAGTGTGCTACGATCTAATGCAAATCCTGTATCGCTAATTTAAGACATTTCCTCTAATAAAAATACCGTACAGTTTGTTTAAGTGACTTGCGCCTACTTAAAGAAAGCATCCCTGCTCAGCTTGATTCTTCAACGCATCCCTGCATATATTCTCTAGAAAAGCATCCCTGCTCTAGTTGGAAGTTCGACAAGTGCACGGGAATTGCTTCCCAGGGTTGCTTATTGGCACATTGGGCCACTTCCAGTGTTGCCTATAAATACAACCGCCACCTTGTCATTCGTTCTTCTTTTTTCCACTGACGTCCAGCAGGATAGCAGCACATCATCATTTTCATCCACCGAGGGATTTCCGCTTACCAGGACCTCTATTCATCGATCAAATCGTTCGCATTATCTTTTTAATAGTTTGCGTACTTATACATTTAAATTATATTTCATTTTCATAAAATCATTCGCTTCGCGAATCTTCTCATATTGTTAAATATTAATTCTTGCACTCAAGTTGTTATTTAAAATCATTCATACTTTCCGCTTATTAACATTCTCAGTTTCTACATACATATTATTGTTAATTAAAGTCACCTTCAAACATTAAAGTCTCTTGTATTATATTCGTTCATGCATACATGCATATGCATTCAACCATACTTTCATAATTTTCTTGAAGTATTGTAAATTTGAATTATTGTTAATAAATAATACTTTTTAATATCGAAACCAATATCGTAAATATTGAACACAGTTTAAAGCAATTAATCTGGAATTATTGAGTTTAAAAAAAAAGGGTACCCCTCTTAACATTGCGAACCGCATATAAATTTGGTGGCCCATGAGGGGAATTGTGTAAAATTAGTGACATCAAACAAGGAGCAAAAGGGCGCACATTGATTCCCAGCAAACCCAAACCGAGAATCAGGAAAAGCGGGTGTCGTAGCATAGAAGAGCAAGAGTAGAAGGTTTGGCAGACGGCAGCAATTACTATTTTCGTTACTCTTATCCATACCTGGTCAACGACGGACATCAGAAAACGGTAAGTGTGCTAGGTGTTTCTAATTATTTGGTGCTGACAGCGAGTGTACATATATTATACATATAACGTCACATAAATAGTTAGCGAGGTATATTGGCTAGTACATAAAAGCATAGGAAAGATGAGCAAAGCAAGTACCAGCGAATCGGACACCGGAACCGTTATTGATTTAGATGCCTTATTTACCCTACAGTTAGAGCGATGCGAGACACTTAAGCAAATTTTAAAGAATTTTAAAAAGGACCCAAATACGAGAAAAACTAGGGTATACTGCCAGGTTCGCCTTGAAAAGATAGAAGCAGTACATGGAGAGTTTAACAAAACTCACACCACCATTGTACACCATGACACCAGTCGGAAATCGCAATATTTTACTGACAGGGTAGCTTCGGAGTTTGAAGAACGCTATTTCGATAGCCGGGTTGCACTTTTAGAAGCATACAACGAACAAACGCCTTCATCTTCGGAGCAATCTGCCGGTTCTCAACTGCAAGTTCCAAAAAAAATGTCACCAATCGAAATGCCAAAACTACCGTTGCCATCGTTCTCTGGCAAATATATCGAATGGCCGGCGTTTCATGATGCATTTGTCCGACTGATCCACACCAACACCGACTTAAGTGCTATTCAAAAATTTCACTTTTTAAAGAAGGCACTGCCAGCAGAAAACGATGTAGATGTTCAGCAAATGGCCTTAACTGAGACCAACTATGGAACTGCCTGGGATTTAATTGTAAATCGTTATAATAATCCTCGTCTACTATTCATGCACCACATGAACAAGCTCTTCACACAATCTGCAGTTATTAAAGAGTGCTCAGACGACATCAAGTCTTTACTCAATGTAGCAAAAGTCTGTATAAATGAGTTCAGTCGTTTGAAAATACCTATTTCACAGGGCAATCAGTGGATTGCGTACCTTTTGTCAACCAAGTTGCCAAAGGATACCCATCACGCTTGGGAATATCACCTCGGCAGTGACGTTAACATCCCCACCTTTGAAATGTTAGAAGCATTTTTAAATAAGCGTCTGGTGACAATCAATGTGATTGAAAATAGAAACATTTCGTGTGGTAATAACTCACTGTCAAAGACCAGCAATGTGGCTGATAATACTTCGTCAACTAAACGCCAAAGTCGACCTCCAAAGGCTTTATACAGACATAATAGTAATAGTTTTCACGCCACTAGTCAACCGAAAAACGTCAATTCATGCTTTCTGTGTGGCGAAGCACACATTCTGCGGCGCTGTACCAAATTCCTCGCCAAAGATTGCTTTGAGAGAAAGTCTATCGCGGACAAAGCAAAACTTTGTTTAAATTGCCTGAGCAGGGCTCATTCAGTTTCCCGTTGCACCAGCACGAAGAACTGTCTACAGTGTAGCCAAAGACACCACACTCTTCTACATTTTCCAATGTCAAAGCCCCCACAGCAAAATGAATCCACTCGATCACACGAGGGTGGCAAATCTCAAATAGCTTTAAACCCATCAGCTCAAACCTTTCAAGTTGAAAGCACTCAGAGTCAGACCACGACTCATCAAAACCCCACGTCATCCAGGTTAACGCACACTGCTCAGCTTCTTACAGAACCGTCACAGAAGCAGACTCGTAAGGTGCTTTTAGCCACCGCTCTCGTCACGATCAAGAACGACGGCACGGGTCAGTCCATGGTAGTACGTGCGCTATTAGATCAAGGCTCTGAATGCACACTTATTTCAGAGCATGCCGTTCAAACACTCTGTTTGACACGCAACCGTGCTTCGGCAGATATATCTGGGGTGGGCAGCAACGTCGCGCATCGTTGTAAGCACACTGTGAATTTCACAATGCACTCATATGTGAACCCTAACTACCATGTCGCGGTCGATACCGCCTTTGTTTTAAAGGCGCTCACCAATAAATTGCCAAGTCAAACAATTGAGCCAAACCAATGGGCTCATATTCGAGGACTGCAGTTAGCAGATCCTACGTACTACCAGCCACGTCGTATAGACTTACTTCTGGGTGCCGACATGTTCGCTAACCTTTTATTGCCAGAAACACGTATTGGAGGACTTTATGAACCAATAGCCCAGCGCACCCATCTGGGATGGATATTGTCTGGCAATACTACTTCCACCCCCAAAGTTGATGCTGCTAGTCTTCATTGCAACCATGTGTCTCTCGAGCTGGAATCACTTGTACAACGTTTTTTCGAAATCGATCAAGTACCGACCGAGAGATCTCTCTCGCAAGAAGAAAACTGGTGTGAAACACATTTTCAACAAACGCATATGCGCCAACCAAATGGGAAATATTTAGTGAGACTTCCATTGAAAAATTTGTTTGATGAATCTCAAACCCTCGGTAAATCCAAAAAAATTGCACTCAACCGCTTTCATTCACTGGAGCGAAAACTACAACGCAACGATGAATTGCGAGCCCGGTATGAAGGGTGTATTCGGGAATATTTCACCCTGAATCAAATAACTCCTGCTACGACAACTGAGGAGCAGCATTCCGTCAAACTTGCCTCAAGTGCTCCAACAGTCGCATCATGTGTATTACCTCACCACGCTGTGATCAAAGAGGAAAGTCTAACCACAAAGCTAAGAATCGTGTTTGACGCCTCGTGCAAGACTAGCAATGGCAAATCGTTAAATGACGTACTGTGTGTGGGACCCGCACTTCAAAATGATCTGCCAGCAGTAGTTTTAAATTGGAGAAAACACAAATTTGCGTTTACATCTGATATCCAAAAAATGTATCGGTGCATAGACATGCACACAGATGACTCGCAATATCAACGCATTTTGTGGCGAAACGAAGCAAATGAAATTCAGGAGTATTGTCTCACGACAGTCACATTTGGGACTGCTTCCGCTCCATATACCGCGATACGAATCCTCCACCAACTGGCTGAAGACGAAAGTACATCGTATCCGTTAGCAGCACCTGTCCTTCGGAATGAAATGTATGTTGACGACGTACTATATGGCGGTCACTCCGTTGAGATCGCCACCGAAATTCGCAAACAAGTAACCTTAGCATTGCGCTCCGCTGGCATGGAACTTCGAAAATGGAGCAGCAACTCATCGGCGGTGCTGGACGGTATTCCCACCGAAAACAGGTCAGACAGTAATGCCTTACAGTTAAATAGCAGCGATACCGTTAAAACCCTTGGCATTCTGTGGCAACCGAACAAGGACGTTTTTAAATTCCGGCTCAACTTCGAAATTGATTTTACTGCCACCAAACGGTCAGTGCTCTCAACTATAGCTCGTCTGTACGACCCACTGGGATTAATTGCACCGGTTATTGTAGCAGCCAAAATCATCCTGAAATCGGTATGGTCCTTTAAGGTACAACGCGATGAGCACACGTTCACACCATTGGCATGGGATGAAACGCTACCAACAAACCTAAATCACCAATGGCAACGTTTTCTAAATACTGTATCGGAGCTGCCCTGCATCACGGTGCCGAGATGGTTGAACTATGAGCCAAATCATGTTAAATCATTACAACTCCATGTATTTTGCGATGGCTCGACAGCTGCATATGCAGCATGTGTTTATCTACGGGTAGAATGCAGTGATGGTAAAATTTTTACAACGCTTCTCATCGCAAAAAGCAGAGTCACCCCGACAAAACCGTTGACTATACCACGCGTCGAGTTGTGCGGAGCAGTGCTGGCGACTGAATTAATGGAATGGACCAAAAAATCATTGTCATTACCGTATACAAATCTAAAAACATTTTATTGGACCGATGCTACGATTGTGCTTTACTGGATAAATGGCGATCCGAATCGATGGCAAACATGGGTTTCAAACCGAGTTGGCAAGATACTACAAACCTCTTCACCGTCACAATGGAGTCACGTCGATACTATGCAAAATCCAGCTGATTGCGCAACCCGAGGCCTAACACCAGTCAGTTTATCAACTTTCAGGCTATGGTGGTCCGGCCCAGAGTGGTTGCTGTCAGATGAAGATTCCTGGCCGAAATTTAGCACGACTGAATTGCACATCACCGAAGAAATAGCTGAAGTTAAAAGGAAGCCGCTTCAAGCAAATTTCACGATTTGTCAAGACTCCGTTATTCTTCGGTACTCGTCGCTGACGAAAACCGTACGCGTTTGTGCGTACATTCTCCGTTTCGTGCAGAATAGCCAAGTTCAGAGCTGTGCCCGCATAAGTGGACCTTTGTCGGTCACCGAGCTAAACCAAAGTCTAGCAAAGGTTGTCAGGCTCGTACAACAAGAAACATTCAACACCGAAGTACACAACGTTCGCAATAAAAAACCTGTTCCACATAGAAGCAAGCTTACTAGCTTAACTCCGTTTCTTGATGAGCAGCAACTTCTTCGTGTGCGTGGGCGAATTCAGCGCTCTAATCTTCCATTTGATCAGAAGCACCCCATCATTTTACCAAGTAAGCATCATTTCACTAGTTTGGTTATCACTCACGCGCACTTAACGACATTACATGGTGGTGCGCAGCTTACCTTAACATATTTACGACAGCGGTTTTGGATAATAAATGCCAGACGCACTGTGCAAGAACAACTTCGAAAATGCATTAAATGTGTTAGAAATAAGCCGGAAGTTGGTAGTCAACTGATGGGCGAACTTCCATTCCATCGAGTCAATCCACCACAACGCCCGTTCCTCGCAACAGGCGTCGATTACACCGGCGCAATCGAGCTAAAATCGTCTAGATTTCGTGGAAATACGACATATAAAGGGTACATCGCTATTTTCATTTGTTTAGCTACAAAGTGCATTCATCTGGAAGCAGTCACAGGCATGTCAACGGAAAACTTCTTGATGGCCCTGCAACGATTCATTGGACGTCGAGGTCTGTGCAAAGACATCTACAGCGATTGCGGAACAAATTTTATAGGCGCTGACAAGGTACTTCAACCAAATGAACGTAAATTTGCGGAGGACATAGAGCAAGAAGTCGTGCCGAAATTAGCAAGCCAAGGTATACAGTGGCACTTCAATCCTCCCCATTCACCTAATTTCGGAGGACTTTGGGAGGCGAATGTAAAATCGGTTAAGTATCATTTAAAGCGAACAGTGAGCGGTGCTCGGCTTACCTACGAAGCCCTTGCAACCCTTTTGGCGCGTATCGAAGCCTGTTTAAACTCCAGACCGCTGTGCTCTTTAACATCAGATCCCAACGAATTACAAGTGCTGACACCGGGGCATTTCCTAATAGGAGACTCTCTGCTTTCACCACCAAACGCCTCTCCAGCGGCTAATGTATCACTCAGCCAACAATTTGCTCAAACGCAACGAATGTTTCAACAATTTTGGAAGCAGTGGACATCAGATTGGCTATCACACCTCCAAACACGACCAAAATGGTGTCACCAAAGACGAAATCTTCAAATAAATGACCTCGTCATCGTTAAGGATGAAAGGCTACCACCCAACGTGTGGGTAATGGGACGCGTCATAGAGCTTCATCCAGGTCCAGATAACTTAGTCAGAGTAGTAACTATTCGTACCCAAAACGGCATCTACAAACGGTCTGTCTCAAAGCTTTGCCTCTTACCAATATCCTCATGCACTCAAGACAAGTAATAATTTGTTCATACTCATGCACCAAATAGCACCTAGCACGCTTTCTTCAGCCCTCCTCAATGCGTATTGGAGTTGAATCCCAGAAGTTTCCTTTGGTGTTTTCGTTGCTCAATGAAACCGAAAACACCACCCCAGGACGGTTTGGTGATTATGCTGATCCCAGCATGGGGGCGGCATGTACGGTTTCGAAACACCCTAGCCAAGAGAAGTACGGGAGAGCAAGTTTTCTCCACGATGAAATCCACAGCGAGCATTGAATTTCCAGTAACTTCATGCACACACCCAGATGTATACATATATACAACAGCATGAAGGTATATAGGTACATATGTATGTACCCACCCGCAATGTGAGAACCGTTGAGGCAATAAATAAATAGATGACCGTGTCGCTAGAAGTTAGTATTAAGTGTGCTACGATCTAATGCAAATCCTGTATCGCTAATTTAAGACATTTCCTCTAATAAAAATACCGTACAGATTAAAGCAATTAATCTGGAATTATTGAGTTTAAAATAAAAGGGAACCCCTCTTAACATTGCGAACCGCACATCAGCTTTTGTTAAAATTAGTAGTAATCCAAGAAGTAAAAGTAGTATGATGGCAATCTAAAATATTAGGATTTTATGTTATCTTTATGAATAATTATATTCCTATTATTAATTATTATCTTATTCCCTAGCTTTTCCTTTACTTGTTGCTTTATATACCAAGTTTTTAGTTTATTTCTTTCTCCTATAACCTTTTCGTAAATTATTTAGTCTGGTTAAACTGTTTATCCGTTCTATTTTTATTATGAGTCGCGAGCATTTTCTCCTGCGCTGGCTTGAGGGTGTTGGGTAAATTTTAATTTTTTACTTTGTTGTGGAAAACATCTGTTGGTTTAAAATTTGTTACCGAATGCAGTCATATTATATTGTTGATGAGCTCTTAGAATTATTTCTAAGTCGGGCACTATGTTGTAATCCTCTTTTATTCACCTAGCTATTTCGATTATTGTGGAATGCACTCGCTTTATTTGTCCATTAGTAGTACTGTGCCTTGAATCGCAAAAATAAACTTCAACATTTAATCTCTGCATTAATGATTTAAATTGTGGTGTTGTGAAGCTTCGTTCGTTATCTAATGTAATTCGTTTTACATCTAGGAAAGTTTGGAGCAGTTCCAACATGTTTTCCTCAATGTAAGATTTACCCTCAATGTTTTTTAATATTAGAAATTTAGAATAAGCGTTTCAACTTTTGGGCATAACAAATGTCTGTGTGAAGTGGTTCTCCTTCTTCTTTCGGAATTGGAGCTTTACATATTGAAATTTTTTAGGATGCCTACCGTATTTATTTTTATTGCATATTATGCACTTTCGCACTAACTCATTCATTTTCTTTCTTATTTCTGACCAATAGTATAGCTTTCCTATTTGTTTTATATTTTCGTTATAGCTGCGATGAGCTCTGGTGTGTGTCTGTTGAATTGGGCCCGATTGATCTTCTGTTTTGATGATGTCCATTGGAAAAAGTTCGGTGTACACAAATTTGTTTTGAAATGTTTCTTTCAGCGGTCGCTGTATTTCGTGCAGTGTAATGCTGTTACCAAGTTAGGTCTGATATATTCTTTTAGAATTGTGAGTAGATTCTCAACTGTGTCGTATTCGATCAAGTGTCTTTTGTTTCCAAAAGTTTCGATTAGTTCATGGATAGTGAACCTATTTTTACATAATATAATTTGCTGCTTAAACTGGTTTAAGGGATTTTTAGTTTCTTGTAAATGAATGCTTTCTCTACTTTGTGCGATTCATAATCCGGTGAATCTCCTGTATGGTCTATAAAATTTTTCAATTCAAGGCGTGGTAGTGCGTCAGCTGACTGACTGATAAACAAATTTTGGAGAAAATTCTTCGATAAACGCATGCAGCTGCACTCTTAAATATTCTGCAGGAATGGTTTGCCGAGTCACTTTAGCATCATCCTTGCGAGGGCTGGACACTCGCACAGCAAGTGTTCGACTGTCTCTTTTGATCCCGGGTCATCGCGGCTGCGACAGAACCTATTGAAGGGCAGTACTATCCTTTCGGCATGTACCCCAACGGGCCAGTGCCCTATTCACACTGCAGTAAGTTTGTAGGCATTTGTTTTGCTCATTCCTAAGAGAGCTTTGGTTTTGAGTAGGTCGTAGGACACCCAGAACTGCCGGGCTATTCTGTAGGATCCTGTGTATTTCCACCTCTGCCTGGCCTTCGAATGATAAATTTCGGTAATTTTTGTATTAATCTCCCTGAGCGAGGCGCCCATGTCCCCCGCGTGGAACACATCTAGTGCGGAGCCGCTCCTTGCTAGTTCGTCCGCTGCCTCGTTTCCGTAGATGCCCCTTATGTGNTCTTTCGGAATTGGAGCTTTACATATTGAAATTTTTTAGGATGCCTACCGTATTTATTTTTATTGCATATTATGCACTTTCGCACTAACTCATTCATTTTCTTTCTTATTTCTGACCAATAGTATAGCTTTCCTATTTGTTTTATATTTTCGTTATAGCTGCGATGAGCTCTGGTGTGTGTCTGTTGAATTGGGCCCGATTGATCTTCTGTTTTGATGATGTCCATTGGAAAAAGTTCGGTGTACACAAATTTGTTTTGAAATGTTTCTTTCAGCGGTCGCTGTATTTCGTGCAGTGTAATGCTGTTACCAAGTTAGGTCTGATATATTCTTTTAGAATTGTGAGTAGATTCTCAACTGTGTCGTATTCGATCAAGTGTCTTTTGTTTCCAAAAGTTTCGATTAGTTCATGGATAGTGAACCTATTTTTACATAATATAATTTGCTGCTTAAACTGGTTTAAGGGATTTTTAGTTTCTTGTAAATGAATGCTTTCTCTACTTTGTGCGATTCATAATCCGGTGAATCTCCTGTATGGTCTATAAAATTTTTCAATTCAAGGCGTGGTAGTGCGTCAGCTGACTGACTGATAAACAAATTTTGGAGAAAATTCTTCGATAAACGCATGCAGCTGCACTCTTAAATATTCTGCAGGAATGGTTTGCCGAGTCACTTTAGCATCATCCTTGCGAGGGCTGGACACTCGCACAGCAAGTGTTCGACTGTCTCTTTTGATCCCGGGTCATCGCGGCTGCGACAGAACCTATTGAAGGGCAGTACTATCCTTTCGGCATGTACCCCAACGGGCCAGTGCCCTATTCACACTGCAGTAAGTTTGTAGGCATTTGTTTTGCTCATTCCTAAGAGAGCTTTGGTTTTGAGTAGGTCGTAGGACACCCAGAACTGCCGGGCTATTCTGTAGGATCCTGTGTATTTCCACCTCTGCCTGGCCTTCGAATGATAAATTTCGGTAATTTTTGTATTAATCTCCCTGAGCGAGGCGCCCATGTCCCCCGCGTGGAACACATCTAGTGCGGAGCCGCTCCTTGCTAGTTCGTCCGCTGCCTCGTTTCCGTAGATGCCCCTTATGTGCCGGGACCCATAATAGGGTAATTTCGTATTGATCAGAAATATAGGCCAGCTCTCTCCTACATTCATCCACTAGCTGAGATCTAACAGAGTGAGAAAAAAGTGCCTGAATAGCCGCTTGGCTATCCGAGAGGATGTTCACTTGCGTTCTCGCGGGTATATTGTCTTTGATGTACCTTACTGCCTCCTTAATAGCAAACGTTTCGGCATGGAAAACGCTTGCATAGTCTGGTAGGCGGAAGGATAATTTTAGGTTTTATTGCTCAATGAAGACCCCAGCACCAACCCCGCATTCCATCCTTGACCCATCCGTAAAGACAGTTAAGCCCTGCAAGTACCCGAAATCTTCCTGATTCCAGTCACTGCGGCTTGGGAATTTCGTGCGGGGCTTATGGTGAACGCCGGTCTTCGACAGGATATAGTTAGTGGGCAGCGCTTTAATTTCAGACAGTATTGCGTCTAGGATGGAACCGTGCCCGAACGGTCTTTCCTTCCAGAGCCCCAGGGCTCGCAGCCTGATGGCGATGTTAGCAGCTGAATTCTCGATGAAGATATCTATAGGTAATAAGTCAAAAAGGACGTTCACAACGTCCTTCGGACAGGATCATTGTGCCTGTTACGCTTGCGGCTGCTGACCTTTCAATTCCGCCTAGCTTTTTAACTACGTAATCCTTAGTAAGGGCTGGCCACCATACTAGCGCCCCATAAGAGATTATGGGTCGGACTATAGCTTTGTCCAGTGCACAATTCTTGGTTTCAAACCCCATATGTTGCCCAACATTCTCTTGGCTGCATAGAGAGCCACCGTGGCCTTCCTAGCACGCTCCTCAATGTTTGGTTTCCAGTTAAGTTTGGGATCCAAAATGACTCCAAGGTATTTCACCTTCTTTGACAGATCGATTTCCGTTCCTCGGAACCTTGGTTTATTAAAATTTGGTAATTTTGTTTTATTTGTGAAAAGCATAAGGTCAGTTTTCTTCGGGTTTACGCTAAGAGAACAGCTTATGGCCCAGGAATCTACTATCTTTAAAGTCCTTTCCATAATTTCACTTATGACCGAAGGAAACTGACCCGATACCAGTATCGCTACATCATCGGCGTAAGCCACCGCTTTTATTCTCTGAGAGTACAGCTTTATCAGTACTTTGTTTAAGACCATGAGCCATAGTAACGGTGATAGCACTCCTCCCTGTGGGGTGCCTCTCACTGCATATACGGCCCTGCTTTGGTACCCCAATTCGGCATGTATTACTCTGCTCCTTAGCAGAGACACTATCCAAGCCCGGACACAGTGATCAATCCCCGTTTCTATAAGTGACCCATGGATGGAATCTACACTGACGTTCTTAAAGGCCCCTCGATATCTATAAAGGACGCCATTGTAAATTGTTTATAGTAGAGCGAACTCTCAATTGTACGTACCAATTCATGTAGGGCAGTCTCCGTTGACTTCCCTTTCAAGTACGCATGTTGAGAGCATGATAAATTAGACGTCTTGTCCCTAACATACAGATCCAACAGCCTCTCAAACGTCTTGAGC